ATGGGAAGACAATCTTCAACAGTTTAAATCGCTTACTTTGAAATTTGATGAACAACGACAATAACATTTACGCTGTTAGAATAGTTATGTAAATAGTAGTAAATAATCCTAATCCCATATGAATTAGGAGTAGGACATGTTATGTATATATATAGGCGTCATTGTATCATGTTTAACATATAAGAATTAATCAAGAATATTTTCTCCCGTGTTTTATCACATGGTATTAGAGAATTAGTAAGAAAACATCGTTGTGCGTCATTCCAGCGTTAACCGGGAAGAAAGAACTTAGTCATCGTGCAATTTTTCCGGTGGCCTAAGGCCTGTCTACGTGCAAGTCACTTTCTGTCGGTATTGTGCAAAAACCAACACCACCACGAGGTAGATCACTCCTCGGCGACCAACCCATTAAAATTTCTCTGGCAGAAAAGCTGCCACGCGCCGGCAACAGAATTTTTTCGGCGAGCGCGTGAACCCACGCGCCGGCGAGTACAACCACTTCCGGCCATTTTTTTATGACGGTTCTTCAGAACAGTTGGGTCGGCTACTAATTCCGACCCTACCCATCCTGTTTTCGTTTGATTTCGACCACTTTGAATTTTTTCGGCGACTACACTGATTTTTCCCGGCAGCTACAGTAATTTTCCGGCAAAAATAGTGTTTCCTTCATCTGTTTCAGCGAGTTGTCAATTGATTCTTTCTGTTATTTGGTGATAATTTTATAGGCCTCACTTCAATCCAACGATGTCTTTGGGAGTCGATGCCTTCGGGTCTAAAAACCCGAATTCTGGCAGTTCCGGTGTTATGATTACCTCAGAACCTTTAATGGGAAGTTAAACTACTTAGCTTGGGCTTCGTCTGTCGAGTTGTGGTGTAAAGGTCATGGTGTTCAAGATCATCTAATCACGAAGTCTAGTGAAGGAGATTAAAAGGCCAAAGCACTTTGGAAGAAGATCGATGCTCAATTATGCAGTATTCTATGGCGATCTACTGATTCCAAGTTGATGCCCTTGTTTTGTCCATTCCAGACATGTTATTTGGTTTGGGAAAAGGCTCGCACTTTATACACTAATGACATATCTCGTTTCTATGATGTGATATCACGGATGACAAATTTAAAGAAACATGAATTAGATATGTCTACTTACTTGGGACAAGTACAGGCAGTCATGAAGGAATTTGAGAAGTTGATGCCAGTTTCTGCGAGTGTTGCAAAGCAGCAAGAGCTGCAACAAAAGATGTTTCTAGTTCTTACTCTTGATGGTCTTCCTAATGATCTTGACTCAGTACGCGATCAGATTTTGGCTAGTCCGACTGTCCCCACAGTTGATGAATTATTCTCTCGATTACTTTGCCTTGCTGCAGCACCAAGTCACCCAGTGATCTCATCACAGACACTTGACTCATCTGTTCTCGTATCCCAGACAGTGGACAATCGGGCATCTCATACTATGGAGAATAGACGAGGAGGAGGTCGTTTTGGAAGATCTAGACCCAAGCGCTCTTATGGTCATAAACTTGGACACACTCGTGACATATGCTATTTTTTACATGGTCGACCACCCAAAAATGCTTATGTTGCTCAGACCGAGACTACAGGTAACCAGGGATTTTCTTTATCTGAAGGGGAGTATAATGAGTTCCTTCAATATCGAGCAAGTAAGCAGACATCTCCACAAGTAGCCTCTGTTGCTCAGACTGAAACTTTTGTTGCTGGTAATTCTTTTGCTTGTGTTTCCCAGTCTAGTACTCTTGGACAATGGGTTGTGGACTCAGCCGCTTCTGATCATATCTCTCGTAATAAATCCCTTTTGTCAAATATTGCATATTCCCAATCTCTCCCCACTGTTACTTTAGCCAATGGGTCTCAAACTAAAGCAAAAGGAGTTGGACAAGCGAATCCCCTACCCTCTGTCACTCTAGATTCCGTTCTTTATGTCCCTGGTTGTCCTTTTAATCTTGCATCTGTTAGTCGTTTGACTCGTGCCCTCTATTGTGGTACATATTTTATTGATGATTCTTTTATTATGCAGGACTGCAGTATGGGACAGACGATTGGAACAGGACTTGAATCAGAAGGCCTTTACTACCTTAACTCACTCTCTTCCTCCAAAGCATGTCTAGTTACAGATTCTCCAAACCTAATTCACAGACGTTTAGGACATCCGAGCTTATCCTAGCTTCAGAAGATGGTGCCTAGTTTGTCTAGTTTATCTACATTAGAGTGTGAGTCATGTCAGCTCGGGAAACATACCCGTGCCTCCTTTCCTCGTAGTATTGAGAGTCATGCAGAGTCTGTTTTTTCTTTAGTTCACTCTGATATATGGGGTCCTAGTAGAGTCAGTTCAACCTTGGGATTTCGTTATTTTGTTAGTTTCATTGATGATCATTCAAGATGTACTTGGATTTTCTTAATGAAAGATCGTTCTGAGTTGTTTTCTATATTCCAGAATTTTTGTGCTGAAATTAAAAATCAATTTGGTGTTTCTATTCGCACTTTTTGCAGTGATAATGCCTTAGAATATTTATCCTCTCAATTTCAGCAGTTCATGACTTCTCAAGGAATTATTCATCAGACCTCTTGTCCTTATACCCCTCAGCAAAATGGGGTTACAGAGAGAAAGAATAGGCACATTATTGAGACTGCTCGCACATTTCTCATTGAATCTCATGTTCAGTTGCGTTTTGGGGCGATGGAGTTCTCACAGCTTGTTATTTGGTTAATCGGATGCCTTCATCTCCCATCTAGAATCAGATTCCGTATGCAGTATTATTTCCCCAATCACCCTTATACTCTGTTCCCCCTCGTGTTTTTGGGAGCACTTGTTTCGTTCATAACTTAGCCCCCGGGAAAGATAAGTTAGCTCCTCGTGCTCTTAAGTGTGTCTTCCTTGGTTATTCTCGTGTTCAGAAGGGATATCATTGTTACTCACCTGATCTACGTAGGTATTTATGTCCTCTGACGTCACATTTTTTGAGTCTAAACCTTTCTTTACCTCTTCTGACCATTCTGACCACCTTGATATATCTGAGGTCTTACCTATACCGACCTTTAAGGAGTCTACTATAGCTCCTCCTTCACCTTCCGCCACAGCAGTCTTACCCATTCCAACCGTTGGGGAGTCTAGTATGGCTCCTCCTACACTCCCCGCCACAGGAACACCACTCTTGACATATCATCGTCGTCCGCACCCAGCATTAGGCCCAGCTGATTCACGTCCTGCACCTGACCCTGCTCCTACTGCGGACTTGTCTCTTCCTAGTACACGGATTGCACTTCGAAAAGGTATACGGACCATCCTTAATCCTAATCCCCATTATGCCGGTTTAAGTTATCATCGTTTGTCATCACCATATTATGCTTTTCTATCTTCTTTGTCCTCTGTTTCCATCCCTAAGTCTACAGGTGAAGCATTATCTCGTCCAGGATGGCGACATGCTATGATTGACGAGATGTGTGCTTTACATACGAGTGGTACTTGGGAGCTCGTCCCTCTTCCTTCAAGTAAATCTACTGTTGGTTGTCGTTGGGTGTATGCAGTCAAGGTTGGTCCGGATGGTAAGGTTGATCGTCTTAAGGCTCGTCTTGTTGCCAAAGGATATACTCAGATATTTGGGCTCGATTACAGTGATACCTTCTCTCCCGTGGCTAAGATAGCATCAGTCCGCCTTTTCTACCCATGGCTGCTGTTCGCCATTGGCCCCTCTATCAGCTGGACATTAAGAATGTTGTTTTACACAGTGACCTTGAGGATGAAGTTTATATGGAGCAACCACCTGGGTTTGTTGCTCAAGGGGAGTCTCGTGGCCTTGTATGTCGCTTGCGCCGGTCACTTTATGGTCTAAAGCAGTCTCCTCGAGTCTGGTTTGGTAAGTCAGCACAGTTATCCAAGAATTTGGCATGACTCGGAGTGAAGCTGACCACTCTGTATTCTATCGGCATTTTGCTTCGAGTCTCTGTATTTATTTGGTGGTCTATGTTGACGACATTGTTATTACCGGCAATGACCATGATGGTATTACTAAATTGAAGCAACATCTCTTTGAACACTTTCAGACTAAGGATCTGGGCAAACTAAAGTATTTTCTGGGTATTGAGGTCACTCAGTCTAGCTTAGGTATTGTGATCTTACAACGGAAGTATGCCTTAGATATTCTTGAGGAGACAGGAATGACAGGTTGTAGACCTGTTGACACTCCGATGGATCCGAATTCTAAACTTCTGCCAGGACAGGGGAGCCTCTTAGCGATCCTGCAAGATATAGGCGGTTGGTTGGTAAATTAAATTACCTTACAGTGACAAGACCTGACATTCCTTTCCTGTGAGTGTTGTGAGTCAGTTTATGGATTCTCCGTGTGATAGTCATTGGGATGCAGTTGTTCGCATTCTTCGGTATATAAAATCATCTCCAGGCAAAGGTTTATTGTTTGAGGATCGAGACCATGAGCAGATCGTTGGATACTCAGATGTTGATTGGGCAGGATCACCTTCTGATAGACGTTCTACTTCTGGATATTGTGTCTTAGTAGGAGGAAATTTGGTATCTTGGAAGAGCAAGAAACAGAACGTGATTGCTCGGTCTAGTGCAGAAGCAGAATATCGAGCAATGGCTATGGCGACATGTGAGCTAATTTGGATCAAACAGTTGCTCAAGGAGTTGAAATTTGGTGATATTAGTCAGATGGGACTTGTGTGTGATAATCAAGCTGCTCTTCATATTACGTCAAATCCAGTGCTCCATGAGAGAACTAAACACATTGAGATTGACTGTCACTTTGTTAGAGAAAAGATACTCTCGGGAGATATTGCTACAAAGTTTGTGAAATCGAATGATCAACTTGCAGATATTTTCACCAAGTCCCTCACTGGTCCTCGTATTAACTACATATGTAACAAGCTCGGTACTTATGAGTTATAGCTTATGGTTTAGAATATAGATATATATATCAGAATAAATATAAGTTCACAAACACGGAAGCACAGTTCCAACCTTGGAAAATAGTGACAAACATAGAACAATATATATTGCTTCCCTAGACTTGTTGAAACTGAGTAAATATTTCCTTTTCTTCCACTTCCTTTAAATACAGTTAAAAAATCAAACTCAAGCATACGCCTTATTAGATCTTCATTTTCTACCCGCAATCCTAAGCTACGTGATCAACCAAATGTATCAGTTGCTATCATTGTTTTCACTATGAACAAAAGAGATAACATATACAAGTCCAACTAAGAGCCATATTGCAAATATTTGTGCATTGCTGGAAACATCTGCTACTATGTATTCTTCAAACAAATTCTTGAGAGCTTTAATAATGCAGACTGCCTTTGAAGTGGTGCAAAATTTCTCCATTTTCCCCTTGTGGCAACTATCATTATGATCTACCCTCCTGCGTTGCGTTGTGTCTGCTGGCTAGCAAAAATGAGCAAAATTTCTCCATTTTCGGTTTGGAATGTTAGGGGATCAACAAACTTCCTTTGGTGACTCAATCTGTCTTTTGATCAAACAACAAAAGTACAACTGTTTAATACACAACCTTACCTATCCTATGTATTCGAGATGAAGATTAAAAGAATCTGTTGTCATAGTAGTAGATTCTGTCCAGAGCTTTGAAAGAACAGGTAATTAATTAAAAAAGGCCGATTATATTTTTTTAGGTTTAAAGTTATGCAAAAACAAAAGGCACAAATCAACAATGTCATTAATAGTAGTATTGTATATTTTAGAACACTTTACAGTGTTTTCATCATTTTGAATTTTGGATTTAGCTTGCTGTATTTCGTAATTCACTTTAGGAAATGGATTTTGGAGACTACTGCTTATGCTGATAGCATATGTCATTAATATCATGACGTAAAGAGATATGTGGGTGTGCATGTGAGAGAGAGAGAGAGAGATCATATAGATAAACCAAGGATCTCCACAAACAAACTACTCCAGAGTACTATACTTAAGAGTCGAGTTATGGCCCTTTAGAGAAGAGGGAACAAAGAAAGTAAAGGGCAAGACATTTTTACTACATTAATGTCAAACGAACAGATGTTGCTCGAATACAACTTTTATTAAGCTTTCCGAAAATATAATAATGATAACATCTTACAATAGAAATTCACGTGCATAATTTTTGCCAATAGCTATTCATCCAATTTATGTCAATTCAACCCATAAACCAATTTTAGTGCTTTATTAGGGTATTCATGAGTTCCTATTTTTCTTTCCTTCGGTAATGGAGAGTGAAGGATGTGCGAAGAGGCAGTTATGAAGTATCTGGAAACATTCGCGCGATTCATAATTCATGGAAATATAACATATACAGATAAAAGTAACGACAAGGAAGAACAAATTGCATTAGGAATAAAACTAAAAATCCCTTTTGTTTTTAAGGTAGCAGAATAATAAATGTCAATACCGTAAGAAGAGATAGAGGCGAATCAGCAAGAAGAAAGCAACATTAATAAAATTGGACGGAGATTAACCCTTAAAATGGTGATCCGCATCTTCTGGTCGGAAAACACGAAATTCAAGAAAATTCATCCATGAAATTGGAAACTGTTAAACAGATCTAAAAAAAGCAAAGAAAGAAAAGAACACCAAGAGAAGATAAAGAAGATGTGAGCAAAGACTGAGAGAATAATATCTGAAATCTAAGAGAAGGAGAATTGAAGTACAAAGAGATGGAAGTCGGCAGATGTTTGTGTGTCAAAAATAATAGATGGAAAGTCGGAAGATTTTTTCTTAGAGCAAAAATGACAATTTTGCCCTTGGCCGACCATTTCTATATAATAGAAAACTCTGCTTGATAGAAACATAGGCAGAATCATAGCACATGACATTAGATTATTCAACGTTAATTGAACTATCAGAAAGACGCCGCATTTTCAACTCAATTCTGCTTCCTCGTCTCATGCTAAAGGGCCTCTCTTTTTTCAGGTGGCATCAGTCTATATAATTCACGTCTCCTAGTGGCTTGGGAAAACCAATGCTTCTAGATTGAGGTAAAATGACAATTTTACCCTTGGGCTAAAATTACAGTTATGTCATTGGTCGACCACACCTGGCTTATATATATATGTATCATGTTTAACATATGAGAATTAATCAAGAATATTTTCTACCGTGCTTTTTCACATACGCGAATCAAGAAGATAAGAAAATACCTGCAAGTTTGCAGATTCACCTTTTTCACCTTTAGTTTCAGATATTGGTTTTTCAGCAAGGACCTGCAGTTTGTAAGAATGAATTATACATGTAACCATGGTATTCATTAACGAGCAGCTTGAAAGGTAAACTCTCTCGAAAATAAATTTGCAACTCCTGGTTTATCAAGTAACACGGATATGATATTTTTACAAATCATAAAAATATATTCATTAACGGGCAGCTTGAAAGGTAAACTTTCTTGAAACAGGTTGCAACTCCAGCTCCACCAAGTAACACAGATGTTGATAGTTTGACAAATCAGGAATAACGGTCTCACTTCTAATCAAAAACAAAAAGGTTTTCATAATTCTTGATACCAACATATACTCCAAAAAGTTAGTAGCTAAAAGATTTATTACAGTACAAAAATAATAAAATCAAAATACTTACTAACAACTGTACTACTTCTCTTTTTTTTTCTCAAAGCTGAATATGATAACTAAGTGTGAGCGCTACTGTGTTAAAATACAAAATCAGAAAAAAACTGTTAGAAAAATAAAAGAAACTGGAAAAACAGAAGAATTTAAGAAATATTCCGAGTCCACAATTTTCTTGTGTGTCCTTAAGGAATTTTAACCCCCTCACACGTTGCCAAGGTAATGGATTAAATCCTCCCAGGATAAAACGGAATAAACCTTCCTGCAACAGTGGCAATACAAACTGCAGGATACCAACGAACTCAAAGAACGAAGCAAAATCACACTTCCGAATTTGAGAGAGAGAGACTGCGAATTAGGATGCAGTATATTCAGAAAAAAAGAAGTTCTAGAGTATTTTTCGTGTTTAGAAAATGGAGCCTTGCCTCAGAATTTATAGGCAATTATCAGAAGAGGTGTCTGGAAAAGGTGCCTTTTCAGAAGAATACGCTGCCTGCCGCGGTCGCGGCAGAACCGCAGTCAGAGAGGCTTTCTGAACCTGCCTGCCGCGGTTCTACCGCGGTCGTGTGATTTGGCATTTAATTAATTATTCCGAATCCGAATCCAAATCCGAAGCCGAAGCCGAAGCCGAGCCGAGCGAGCGACGACGGCGGCGCGAGGGTTCATTCTCTTCAACTCCTTTTAAGAGCTTTAAGAAGTGATTCTATATATAAGCACACAAATGTGGTTGTCCCTCACCAATGAGGGACAAAGTGCAAGACAAAAGTTCACTTCTTCAAATTTTCAATTTACCTCCATTTTATTTCCCTCCATTTTCAATTTACACTTCTTCTACTTTAAGCCCAAATGGCTTAAAGTCCAACAATCCCCCACATGAATGGGAATGGCTGTATCAAGAAAGATCATAGATGAAAGCTATGTGATTTTGCAAGTAAGGATTAATTGCATCTGGATAAGTAGGTTTCCCTTTGAACTTTCCGTAGTGAACATATGTCGGATATACTCGGTCAATCGGTAGATTTGATATCTTTGAACCGTCGAACTTTAGTGTATACCTAGACAACCATATGTCACACAATCAACCATTAACCGTCTTTTAGTTCTCATTGTTGTGTTCGTTTCAGCCATGAACACCGCCTGGT